GGGCGTTTTCCAGAAAAAATTCCAAAGTTTGAAAAAAGGGCCCAAAATTTATGGAAATTTTTAGACTTTCATTGCTGCTGATTTTGAAAAAAATTATTTTTTCTCAACCAAACCCCATTATGAACCATCTTCTTTCCTTGGCTCGCAATGTGTGCCTGGTGCCATGAGGTTTATGGGGTACTAAAATGTGGTCTGTTTTGAAATATCATCAAAAAATGCTATTTTTCCTGGAATGTTACTGGTATTTTCTGACAATTTCCAGAAATTTCTGGCTTTCGCGGCCCATTTCATTCAGTTTCAATTTGACATAACTTTGTACGATCATATTTGTTTTTTTTTCATAAATCAAAACTAAAAATATCAATAGCCTCAGGACTATCAATTTCAAAACATTCTAAACCACATTCAACGATTATCTTTAGCAAAAAAACTCGAATGGATGCCTCTAGACCTACATTTCAGCCATGAAAAATTTTCTATGGAATGACCAAAAAATTTTTTTCTGTGACTTATAAAGGACCAATCTTTGTATAAAAATCAATATTCAACTTGATTTGATAGTAAAAAAATAATGGTTTTGAAATGACTAAATTGATCACTGATGTCCTTTTATGGATGACCCCCTATTCTGGCCCACTGTGCCTGTTTCCTTATTATACTTATACATCTTGTTATATAAGTACATGTCATGCTCGTGCACTTTTAGTTATTCACCCTTCCAATTTCTGCAAAGAACAGTAATTTGACACTTTTAACATTATGCTGCTTAATGAATCTATTGTCTTACCAATAGTCATTAGTCAATACTATAATTTATAGAAAGTTATATTTATACCTCAATATCAACTGTACAGTGTACTTTCACACTTCACAGCACCATTGCAAAGAGTTAACCAGTCAGCTACCTTACAATCTGTACTGATATTTAGCAATAGTATATTATAGTGACAACTGACTATTATATAATATATACGTACTGTTACTACAGAAGTCACAATCTACTATACTACTTTTAAACGTCTGTACTAACTACCCCGGCTCTTTCTTGGAACTACTATGTAATTATCCCAATAATATCCCGCACACACACACACACACAGCGCACGTGTTCTAATATCGTGGTCAATGTTTCTGAGAACCAATCAGTTACACGGTACAGTAACAATAGTTAACTGTGTTTGCGGTAGTATTATATATGGGTGTTGTGTGTACTTGATATTTCAACATTTCACCCTCTGTATATTATAATACTACAGGATACTGTCTACTATGTAATTGTAGTCTCGCTCCGGGGAAAGGTATGCAACTTTAAACACTTTCTCTTTTAACACGTCTAATCTTGTTTGTGTGACTCTGTCGGACTCTGTGGCATGTTTAGCAGAGAAACTAACACACGTTTAGTGAACCAGTACACTGGGCACTATATGAGAGAGCTATCAGATAATAGTACTGTTATACTTTAATATAGCAGTACTAGGTTCAGCTGCCTTTGTTATCTGCATTCTGCAGAGTTTTACAAATTACTTGTGCACGAAACAGAGAAAGAGAGAGTCAGAGTCAGAGAGACGGATCTAGATAGAGAGCGCTGTTATTATGATACAGCATACAGGCCACAGTGCAGTAGTGCAGTAGTGCAGTAGTGCAGTAGTGCTGTGGTACATACAATACACCCTCTCGCTCTCCCTCCCTCCCTCCCAATGTTATTATACAGGCACACAGATAGTTAGTTTCTCCTATTGGCACGCTATGTTGTGTACACTCACAACAATAGCGGAGACTGAAGAGTATGACAATACGAGCAGCTAGCTCTGGTACCCGCTCTCGGTATAATAAACGTTAATCTCTGGTGACACACGTGACCAGATCTACTATAGTACACTATTGTTATGTTGTACATAATTGGTACTCAGCGTAGAGCCAGCCAGCAGCCAGCACGCAGTAGCAACTAAGCTTTAATCAATGGTATTTAGGGAGGAATTATATTATATCTGTATTATATAATATAGGTTGCCCGCACAGTGCAAGCAGCAGCACAATAAAATATGTGACATATTCAATTATATGTAAACGTTATGAGATGTACCAATCACGTATTATATATGTGCGCGTTCATTACTCCTTCATCAAATTTCTCTCTCTTTCTCCTCGTATATATTATATACGGTGCGTGTGTATAGAATGCCATTCGTATGTCTGAGCTGCTTTCATAATATGTGTCTTGCTGTATAATGCTGCATATTATTATTGTTATCAGTCTCAGTATTACAACATGTGGTGGGTTACAAAGAGAACAAAAGAGAACACATGCTCGGTGTGTGGTGTGTGTGTGTGTGAGATATAATGTATTATAATTATATCTCTCTAGAGTCTAGACGCTGGTTCAATGTCTTAAAGCAGCTTGATCATTATTTAATGACGAACAGAGAGGGAGAGAGAGAGAGATTATATATAGTATATATTATGTGCGGTATTGGATAGTGGATACATCCTCTCTCTCTCTCTCCCTCTCTCGCTTTTAATAACATCACAGGTCACATGACACATAATTCCTTCGTCAATGGGCTAGACAATGGACGATAGAAGGCAATGTCTGGAGAGAGAAACGCATCATAAAGCAAGCAACTCTACAGTCTCCTTCTCTTCTGTAACGTGTCTCTACAGCTAACACAGCTGCACTACCAGTGAACATGTTCGTGCTTGTCACACTAACCTCCCCTCCCGCACATGTTTCTAATTTATAACCACAGAGCTGATGACGTTTCTCTAATTAGTGAGAAATACACACAATGTGTGCAATGTGTGCAACTCCCTCTCTCTCTCTCGATATTACTCACGGTTAACAGTTAATGCAGTACAATATCACGTGACTATTCTCACGTAACTACAGCTCTACGGTGTCAGTCTGCTCAACACCACCAGTCTCTCTCTCTCTCTCTCTCTCTCTCTCTCTCTCTCTCTCTCTCTCTCTCTCTCTCTCTCTCTCTCTCTCTCTCTCTCTCTCTCTCTCTCTCTCTCTCTCTCTCTCTCTCTCTCTCTCTTTCTTTCTCTCTCTCTCTCTCTCTCTCTCTTTCTCCAGTGCACAAGTGGTGTGTTATAGAACTGTAGCACGTATAGACCTGACAGCTTATTAATAATGTACACTCGCTGAGAGCGGGCTATCATATCGTGTGTATATATATATATATTTATAAAGGTGATAATATTACTATTACATGAGATATGTCACGTGGGTATATTACTGTTCCATGAAATATATCACGTGATAATGATACTATTACATGATAATATATCATTACAGTATAATAATATTATTATGTTATATATCCGACCCAACCACACGAATTATTACACCCGACTGGACACGCTGTACTAGCGCGGAGTAGTTTGTTGTAAGGATTTGCAGCTGTACGCGAGACTACATTCAAAGAAGTGATGGGTGGTTTCCTACACCAACCTCTCTCTCTCTCTCTCTCTCTAGGTCGGATACTGGTACACGTGACTTTTTATTTACTGTTATATACACTTCTCCCTTATAATATACTTCTGAGCTGCACTAGGAAAAGCCATTATAAATTTGATTACACTGATGTATGATATATAAAGCCGGGTATAATATATGGTTAACGTATATATAATATTATATATATTAACGTATACATAATATATATATGTACCGTACCCAGGAAATCATGCCATATATGGAATGCACCAGGAAGACTACCTAGCAGGAGGATGAGGCTTATTTGCCCTTATATGGGCAAAACAAATAATAATAGGCATCATTCGGGGAGGCAGCAGCTCGGACGGTGGTGCAAGAGAAGGCCAACATCCGGCTACGCCACTAGCACCAGACATACTATTTAGACAGCCGGCTCTACAACCGGGAAGTACCGGCTAGGTGGTGTTGTGTGAGCGGGTAGTGTTGTGTACATTGTTGTAATTCTTGGTTGGGTCAGTGTGACTAGGGGAGCAGTTTTAAGAGAATGAAATTAGGAGATTCAAGAGAATTGAGACAACAATTGAGATTAGATGAAAAGATATGGTGTCTGTATTTTAATGACCGGTTAAGAATGTGAATTGAGGAATTGGACCGTGAACTGTGAGTAGACTGGTATGCAGTGGCTCTGACACTCTCGCTGGTTACACTCGCAAGTCGTACTGGCTACACTCGCACTGGCTACGATACTCTCGCACATCTGTGATTCCGGAGATACATATATCCTAAAAATGCGACATTTGTGCAAGGAGTTATGCAAAGGCTTCAGTCTGCCCGTGACAAGTAGCAGAATTATTTTCGGACATTTGAATTGGTGCCAAATTCCTCAGTAAGGCGTTTCATCAGGTCTATTAATGGAAAAACGGCCATGCAACTTAATAATACTTTAACGTTCATATAGTATATATGATACGAGAGAGCAAATCTAAGAAAAAAATTTGACTCAAATATTTAAGGAATTGAAACCTTAGTACCGTACTACAGACTGCACCAGGAACACAATTTTCACTGTCTATATTTTACTTGTTTTAGATCCACTTCACAAATTTACCTGTTATTCATATAATACTGTTTAATCAAAGCGGACTTAAAACTGGGATATAATCCACTCAAGTAACATGGCACCATGTTATGTGACTTAAAATAGCTTTTTAAACATGTGTTGTCTTCTATTTTTTAACTAAATAATAGACTTGTCTACGAGTCTGCATTAGAGTCAAATGACCACTAGGCACCATGTCACTAACATTCTCATGCGTTGCAACTATGGCCCTTTCTAGTTACGCCCTAATTTAAGTCCTGATTCTTAGGGTTTCGTTAAAAGGATGCATATTTTAATCTTGTGTTTCGGAACTTATAGGCTGAGAATTTTGCACTTTTAGACAAGCTTCGGTAGAAGAATTACTAAATTTAAATAACAATTTGTAAACTTAAATGATCATGTAATCGAGTATTGAAGAAGTTTAAAACAGCACCAACTATTTAACAAGAAAACAGTACTCACTCTGACAAGTTGCTGGAGTGGCCAGGTGTAGGTGAGTGGGGGTCCTCCCACTGGTGAGAGCAGGGTAAGTGTCTTCTTCCCTGTCCCACCATCTCTCGTACCCTCACCCATATCAAAACATAATTATCCCTTTCTGTAATAAGTGGTTAGTAAATATATGTCAAAGTCTGTGAGATGTGTAATATGTCAGCTGTAAGTAAATAAATATCAGTAAAATTGAATTAATGTATATAATTGTTCATAGACACTGTATTTTGCCTGATGTAAAAAAGAACAGGGAACAAGGAATTAGGTATGAATAAATTAAAATGTGAATGGAGATTTGTTGCCTTCACATTCATGTTATGTTCAGCATTTTGTCGACAAAATCACTTCAGCTTAGTTTAATTCAAATCAAGCAAAATTAATATTGTTATTGTTTCTGAATAACCAAATTTCTATGACTACACCTAGTTATTGTGAAGAAAAATATTCGATGATAACATCTGGACTAGAGGCAGAAATGTATCATTTTAAATGTCTTTTATAATGGACTCTTTATTTTGATAGTTCAGTACTTATTTCACTTTGCAAAGCTACCAACAGTTGAGGGGTTTATAGCATTCAAGGTAGAGGTGCAGGTGGTTTCAAAATTTGAAAAAATGCACACAAGTGATTTTTGCATAAAAGCCATATCCAATATTGCTGACAGAAAAACAAGGACTGAAATCAACTAAGTTTAGTGAAATAACAGTTTCTTCTAAATCTCTTATTTCTGAAATTTTCTATTGGTCATTTGTATCAAGTCAAAATTTACAAGTTTGTAAACATACTAAGGAAAAATGCTGCGCTATCGGTAAAAACTGAATTACTCCTCCAGATCACTTGCCTTGTCATTTTGCAAGGTATTCCCTTACCCTGGGAAAACCTTATTTTAATCTTTCTTTTTAATTTAGCCCTTTTGGGCTCAGCAAGCCTTAGATAATGACTGATCCTGTGATTGATAACCGTGAAAAGGAACAAGCCCTTGTATTTAAGCTTCAAATATCAAAAGGTTCCAGGTTCCAGTGCAGCCCAGTCATATACGCCCAACCCCTGTGATAAGCTAAGGACTATGTTGGGCCTATATAATCCCCAATCCTACATGTGCTTGCAGGATCTCCCCTGTAAATCAGCCTAATGATTGGGAAACCACGATTTAGGGTTAATGGAGAGCCCTGCCAACAGATAAGCAATCTTGCAACATGTAAAAACCTTTTACATACAGTAACATTTCAGGGTGTACTGTAATCCTTAAATTATTCTATACACTTTTCTTTAAATTTGTACTGAACGCGACCCTTCCTAATCCATGATCTTTTATTCAGAGCCGCCTTCCAGGGCCGATGGCATAGACTATGAACTGAAGCGGAATCTAACAAGATTCAGGATATTTAAGCAAGATTTCTCCTAGGGCTAAGATACGGTTTTTTGTAGTCACTTAACAGTTCCCAAATATTATATGCACCAATCGACTGTTGATTCTATCGATGTTTACGATAAGGAAAACAAAATTTTCGATTTAGTCCTGACAAAGATTTACTCATAAAATTAGGTTATGCAGCAGAGCTCTTTCAAACTGCTGGCTGTAAAGATGTTACCACTTAGAAAATAATAATCTTTTAGCTTGTGTGTTGATAACTGTTGCTCTCTTATCAGTAGAATCGTTTAATTACACTGCGCTCACCGTGTAGCCTGTAATACAAGTTAAGTACTCATGGACGAATTGGAAATAATTAGAACGTTTTGTCACTCGTTCTTGTATGTGTGACTGAAGCCTACGAGGACTTCACTATTTGGATAACAAAACATGAAAGAAGCCTCAACCTGTGATGATCAGAATTTTCAGCAGAACAAGTTTAAAAACCAAGCAAACATCTAAAAGTTATGTCAAGTTTGTTGACAGTGTGTATACAAAGAACGAAGATATATTGTCAGAAGAAGCTGTCAAAATGAATGAAGATGTGGAGGAGTTTAAGAGCTCTCTTATTCGTTCACAAAATCGGTTATCAACTGCAGAGTGAACTTCTGAGGGCAAATCAAAAGCAGTTGGAATCTGTTCAAGACACAGTCAAATCACCGTTCAGGTAAACTGTACAAGGCTGAAATCAGGCCATACAGTAAAAGCGTTTCAAGGACCCGCCGGAAAACTGCACTGACAAACAGGGCTTGAAAAAGGCAGTTCAGAGTGCGGTATCAAGGAGACCGCAGTAAAAAATGTTGTTTGTGTTTTGGTTTAAATGGAGAACGGATGATGAAAAACTATCCGATAAGTAGACGAAAACTGTTTGAACAGATCGACGTGAAACCACGTATGAAGCCTGTCAGGATTGGAAGAGATCAGCCGACAAGACCAGACCTATCAAAATATCGTCAACCCAATTCCTATAATGTCCACGAGATATTATTGAAATCGAAAGAAAACCCTGAGACGGCGTCAGCACTCACAAAACAGTTTACATTTCTCCAGATCGTCACCTGAAGAGCAACCAACAACATCTGCTCGTTTGGAGATGAAAGAGAAGGCAAAGAAGGACTTGAAGAGACGATATATATCAGAAAGTGGTTTATTATTTGTTGTGAGGAAAAGATATAAAGAACGATATGGTAATATGAAGGTGTTTCTATTTTATTGTGTACCTTAACGGGTGAGACTCTAAAAAATGATATTATATAAGACCGTTGACGAGCTAACTCGGCACGCGTCTAGTAGTTTTTAAACCTTAAATAATGTTACTATTTTTAAAAGTTTTTTGTGTGAAATAAAGTACTTTGATTCTTAATTTTTATGAGACCACCAGTTTATATATTTTTAAAAAAAACTTATGCTCCAGAGGAAGAGAGAAAGTTTTTTTTGGAGAGCGCTCAGACTGGGCACCGTATTGTGTAAATATTTAAGTATAGTTTATGCAATATCTTTGTCGCATAGAGCGGGTATAACTACAATGTTTCGTTTCGTTTCGTTTCGTGTCAACGGGACATCAATTCCTGCAGGGATCAATTGGGTAGATTGGAATTAGATAAGATTTAAATTGAAAATGCTAGTGTATTATTATATATGGAATCCATAGGAAAAGCATTTTAGATGTAAGAGTATATCATGCCCAAGCTCATTTCAACAAAGCTCTTGGATCTCCAATTAGTATGAACATTACCTGTAAGAGGAAGAAGAAAAAAACTTTATGTAACAAAACGATTAGTAAAACAAAGATTTTCGTCTAAAAAATTGAAGTTGATCATAAAACCTTTACACCGATAGTTCTATCAGTGCAGGTGGAATGGTAACAGGGAAAAGAATAGAGATGCGGACGACCTTTTCAAGAAACTTGCCAATAAGCTATCCAATCTAGCCGACGATATATAGTGGGGCAGCGACATTTATCAGAAAAGGAGGGACAATTTATCTTTGAGAATTGTACGGTCATCGATTTCAAGAGAAAAAATAGTAAAAGTGATATGAAGAGAGCAATTTAGCCTGTTTATTAAATTTTCGATGGATTTTGTTATATCGAGAAAATGAAACTCCAGTTCAGGATGAAGTAGGATTAGGACACCTCTAAAGTAAAGTAAAGTAAAAATGATGACATTACATCATCCTCTACATCAAATGCATATATTATTTTCGGTTACAATAACATATAACTTAAGAACTCAATAATCTATTATATACATTTTTTAATAAATTGTAAATATCATCTACTCGCATATTAAAACCGTTAATTCTACCCTCAGACTATCAAATACTTTTAAAGCTTTCTAAATTTAAATCTAATTAACGAAAACGTGTAAATGAATTAATATTGTTCATATTCGTCCCTCGGTTTAAGAACTTCTCAATTTTTGATAATTCTTATTAAATACTTGCGCAGCTAATTCGCTTAAATAGCCACAATTTAACAAAAATCAAATATTGGAATTAAACGTAACGCAATAATTTGTTAATTTGTTAATGTGCACTCTGCGAGTGAAATTGCATTGGAGAGCGTCGTTGAGCTTCGCGCGCCGTTCGCATTATCATGCTTACTTCGCTTCGATATCGTACGTTGATTCACAATGTTAATTCTTTGCATCTTGCCGATCAGCATAATGATTGCGAGAAGCATTATTGGATGCGCGGCGCGGCCCGGTAGTGCATCGCGCTACAATATCGTACGTAGCAAAGCTAAAAGCTGAAAAAATGGCATCGTCAATTAACAAAACTATTACAAAAAAATAGTGGTTTGTTATCATATTTCTTTTTTTCAAACATCAAAATGAACTGATCCGCTTAATAAAATTGCACATTTTACATTTGCTTAAATACTTTTACGCATTTTTAAACAAAATTTTCAACTGTCTTACCTGGCGGCTGGCTTAGTGACGTCGGGCTTTTCTGTTTATAAACAAAATGGAAGAGCGGTAGAATGACAGCAGCTGAATTAATTGACGATGTCAATTCATGGCAGCTCGGCGCGGCACAGTAGCGCATCTCGCTACAACAGCTGAACAACCGCCAGTAAATATTAAGTAATACGTGTAATTGGAGGATGTGGCCGCATGGACGCGCCGCGCAAACTATCATTCTTGCTTCGCAGAGCAACGATCTGGAAGGTTTGACATTGTTAATTAATATGCGCACGCTTTGCTGATTCCAAAACACTCACCTAACATAATTAACAAAGTTTAAACGTTTTCCTGCAATATTTTGCTTGAGTGACAGGCTACTAAACACAAAAAAGTAAACACTAATTTGATTGTTTAGGGTTCGGATAAGGGTTTTAGATTGTTATTATGTATTAAGGTTATGGTTAGCTTCGGGGTTGTCGTCCGGGGTTAATGTTTCGTGTAATGTTATGGAGAGTGAATTAGTAAAAGTTTTATGGATTTTGTTTTACTTAAACTTCGTTTTACTTACTTACTTCAATGAAACGAAAAGTTTTATTTTACATTCCTTTAATCATAAATAAAATAAGAGCTTAAACCACGAATTAGTTAGCTAGAAGTAAACTTGAGGAAATATTTTTGGTGATTGTATATAATTATTTAAAAAACTTTATTTGGTTGTTAGTATTTTAATTATGGTAAGTGGTTGAATTTAGTGAGACAAGGTCAGTTTCTCTATTATCTTAGAAGAATTTCTACTTTACAGTAGGCAATGCTGAGTGGCAGGAATGAGGGACCAAAACGCTTGGGGCTAACAATGGCCCCATACTTACTTAATTCACAAAATTTTAAAAATTTGTTGCAGTGCGTGTAATTTTGGGAGTGGAATGTTTTTGGAGATTTGAAATGCTTTTGTTTTTAAAATGATCCTCATTATTTTACAAGTTGATAAGAGATGTCGGCCGGTCAAAAAGACTTTTTGGTAATTGTTGAGAAAATAACTCCAAGTAAAGGGCCGACTGTTGAATTCAATATCCTTCATCTCTATATGGGTAGATTTTTACTAATAAAAGTTATTCATGACTAGTATGTTCAGATTTCTATGTTTTTTTCAAAGAGCTATATTTTTGATGATGTGTGATGATGTTTGTGTCATTATATTTTGATTTGATTTGATTTGATTTGCTTTTCATACATTCACAGCACAGATTTTTTAGAAATTTCGACCATTGTTTTCTAAGTTGTTCACTTCATGAGCACGAGGAGATCATTGAATTTATTTGTACTGAAAAGATTGAATACCTTTTTTTACACAAGTGATTTTAATGCAGATATGATTTACTCTAGAAGGAAACATACACGCAAATTGTAATATGTTGGAATCAATTGCAATTGCCTGGCAATACTTAAGTGGACGGAGTGGTTCAAAGGTTCTGATGCATGCAATAATAAGCGATGAATTCATAAGGTAAATTTCCTATTGCTATTATTTTTTTCTCCTAAAAATGGTCTTTTCTATTCTAATAACCTGGACAAATGTTGTACTCCTTCATGGACAGCCTGAAAAAGCTTTGTTTGTTTTTCTTTATGGATATTTGTTTCGGACAATAAAATTATGTTGGCTGGTCGATGATAATGGATTAACAGTTCAGATCATGATTGACACCCTGTCAACTGCTAATGGTAAGGCTGTTACACACATCTTAGCTTTGAGAGGGATCTACGAGAATACAGTTTCTGTTTTAAGTATAAATACAGGTATTTCACTTCGTCACTCCATAACTTAGCTCATTCATTTGCTTCAGATGTGAAAATGGTGAGATAAAATGTATCGCTGTTGATGTAAAAAGCATTGAGCAGCAGAAAGGTGTTACAATATCTATTCATAAATCGAATAGTGCAAACAATTTTGTTGTAGCTATTGAAGGCTTGGATCATGGCGATGAAGTTTCTGATGCCATGGTAAGTGACATCCCCATTTAGTTGTCAATATTGACTTTTTATCTACGAATTAAGCTTCCTATTACTCCCTAAAATAGTCTAAAGTTGCACGCCAATTAATTTAGGGGTTGTTTCAGAACATGATTACCAGTGCGTGTCTGCCTCTGTCAACAAATACAACTGATAATGATTCAGGTGCCATGGGCAGCCAAGTTCGTGATAATGCTGATGAAAATAATGCAAGTGTTCCTTCCATGAGTAGTAAGTATTTTAATTCTAGTGGTGAACTCAAATGATTAGCAGTCAAAGTCGCTAACTTAATAGAGTCCATTTGATTGACCCAGAAAACATTGTCCTTTTTGGTGTATCTTTGATGAATTATTAAATCCTATTTAAAATCTAAAATGTTTACAAAAAGATAGTGAAACCATCCAAGACTATGAAGGTATTGAAGATAGTGGAGATAGTGAAGATAGTGATTACATTGAAGACTTTCCTGTGCTTACTCATCATTCAGGACATCATGACCTTTCCTTAGTGGTGTTTGTCGGGAAACAATTAGAACATATATTACGCAGATATTTTTGCCAAAATTTACGACCAAGTGGAAAAGTAATTACACTGGGCTGTCTTATACATCAGTATTCGAATATAAAGAAGCGTGACAGACAACTCACTTTTCAGCTTCAAGTTATTGTTAAAAAAAGAAATATGTTAGTTCATAAGATTTTTGTGAAAAAATTTCCTGACCAGCACTGTAGGGCAGAATTCATTGAAAACTGTAACATTGCAATGAAGAGTTTGAGATGTTATCACTGCAAGTATACAAGTCTGAAGATCGTAATCGGTATTTTGTGGATAATGGCAGGATTGAGAGCAGTCCTTCCATGTTAAACACGTTTTTCCCCTTCGTTCCATGGAGATATCTTTGGACACTTTTGGCTAGGTCAGAGAGACTTGTATGGAGAGTAAAAAATCTCCTTACCTCAACTGCATCAGCTTCAGTCTCTAAATTACCATTACAACTGGAAGAGGAAATGAAGTATCACTGCTGGAGGATGATAAAGTTAGATCCACATCTGCAACATGCTATTGTTGAAGATGCCGACGGATATTTTAGAGATGTATTTCCACAATCAATGGACGAATATCTGGCAGAGTATGCTGAGTAAACAATAATGCTCAGAACCACCCAACATGGTTGAAGACATAAACCTTGCAAAGTTTTGAAGAGGTTTTAAAGAGGCTAGGTTCTAACTTGCAACACTGTATATTATTAAGATTGTGTAGTGAATGTCTTATAGCTTATTTCAAGTGCAACCTGTAAAAAATAATAATTGAATAATAGAATATGCAATTCAGAATTCTTTTAATAACTTTCAGATGTGCTATATAATATTGGTATATATTGTAAATTAAGTTATTAATTATTTAATTCTTAAATTTTAGAAATGTAATATTTACTAGTGGGGAGATGGGGAGATGATTTGACACGTGATATTGATGTGTAGTTGTGATTGGATGCTGCTTATGACTGATTGGTTAATTACTTCCACTTGTCAGACAAATATTTCATTTCCCCACTAGAAACTAAGTCCTGACTTCTATAGACTGTTTTTTGAATTTTAGATGACAAATTATGTTCATACAGTTGGTTAGTTTTTAAATTTTATCATAATTGCACTGTTTAATAGTTGATAGGTATTAGGTATTGTAGTTGTACAATACCACCAAAAAACTTCAATGAAAATAGAAATGTAAACGTGATTGTATGTTAAAAACGAAGATACATTTTTTAAACATGAATTATAGAGTCCATTTAATCGACAAATAGTACTACCAAAATAACTGTCCTTAGTAAAACTCCATGAAGCTGAAGGACACAGCTACAGTGAAATAAGATTTTAATAGTCCCCATCTATCTAAAATTTAACAATTACAGGAAAGATAAACTTCTTAGGCCCCCACTATGCTGGTCTCTCCAATCTATACACAATGATATACATTGAATATTCTAATGATTTCAGATCTCAACTTTAAAAACATTGATAAGTACACTAAGCTGTTTAACTACAAAATAGGTCTTGGTTTCGATGCTAGGAAATTAGTAAAGATTATGATAGCCTAAATAACACACTGTGTATAAATGTCATTGTGCATTGGGCAACTGAAAAAAAACTCTTGCTAAATTTCAGCAAGTCTAAAAAATAAATGAAGTTGTCAACGCTGTAATTATACTAGATCAATGTCTATTGCAATAACATAATGTCTAGGCAATTCAAATTATTGCTCAGGTGAAGATCAAACTCCTTCTCAAACAAATCAAGACAGTGAATTAACCAAAGACTGTGAAGATACTGAAGATAGTGGAGAAATTGAAGGCAGTGAAGATGGTTTAGACTTCCCTGTGCTCACTCAACATTCAGGACACCATGACCTTTCCCTAGTTGTGTTTTGGGGAAAACAAATTGAACATATATTACGCAAATATTTTTGCAAAAAGTTACCACATGGAAAAAACATTATGCTAGGTCGTCTCATACATCAATACTCGAATATAAGAAAGCGTGACAAACCACTCACGCTTCAACTTCAAGTTCTCGTCAAAAAACGAAATATGTTAGTTCATAAATTAAACGAGAAAAAGTTTCCTAACCAGCAATCAAGGGCAGAATACATTGAAAACTGTAACATTGCAATGGAGAGTTTGAAGATCTATTCACAACAGCCTGAGCAGGTGGACCAAGTTGACTGGCCTGAATCTTTCACTCAGCCGGATCTTCCACGCCCAAGATTTCTTACCAGTTCACCATATCGAAGCGTAAACCCAGAATTAACACTACGAGAATTATCTCGACATATCCAGTATCAAATTTTGTGGTTTCATTGGATATTGTTACTACTGATATTATGGATTCTTACATTATGTCTGAACTGGCTTTTAATAAATCCAGTTTGGCTGGTTTTAAGGTTAAAAGATCGACTCACTCCATCACATTCCTGCTCTATACTACCAAAAGAACTAGAAGTGAAAATGAAGTTTCACTGCTGGAGGATTATCAAGTTAGATCCACATCTGCAACGTGCTATTGTTGAAGATGCAGACGGATTTTTTAGAGATCTTTTTCCACAATCTCTCTAAGTATTCAGAATAATCAGTGCTTACTTGTGCTGAAACCACAAGCCACAGCATTGGTATTTTGACATCAAGGCCTTCTTTATCTTCTCGAGTTGATAAAAAGGTCAAAAGATTACGTCTAAAAAAATAAGAACGTCATAACTGGTTGTGCACTTGTCCTCTTGTTGCTAAATAACGCTGAGTTATGTGATACAAAGACTTAGTGAGGTTATGTGCAATGACTTATCACGTATTATATTCAGTTGCTCGTTGAAACGTATTTTTCCTGTTATGAAATTTTGCACAGGATGCAAGTTATGCATTTATGTTGAATTTAAGTTCCATTTCAAGAATAAGGATTAAAGTGCATACTTTGGAACCGTTTTAAAATAGAGTATTTCATTAGTTTTTTTTCCCAATGGTAATGAGCTGAATTTTTCAAATTAGATTATTGGGTATAATAAATATCAGTTTTACTTATATAGATTGTTTTATCAGATTTTTGGTTATACTTACCAATAATTGAGCAGCTTGTTAATATTGTTTATTAATATCATGGGATGGATGTGTGACAATATAGTTGATACCACCAACAAACAATATTATATATTAAGAAATAAAAGGTCATGCAATTTAAATATTTGGCATCATAATTATTCGTACAAGTTGAAACAAAAATTTAAAATATCACAAGCCAGCTAAATATAACGAATCATTGTTAATAATAGTTAAGCTGGATGTTATCTTTTCCCTGCTGATAGCTGATTGGTTAATTATTATAACTTGTCAAAAAAAATATGGCCCACCTTCAAACAAGAAACTGAGTCCCTTGACTATAAAAGAGTCTTGAAACGTTGAGAAAAGACACATTGAAATCTTTTAAATCTTTATATAATTATATGTGATTCCTCTTGTACATTTAAACAAAGATACAACGAAGTTTTGTAAAGTATCGGAAGTTTTGTAAAATATGCCGACCCTATAATAACGAACCATATTTATAGCTTAAAGCTGATGGCAATACAATGAGATGTATACCAAACGGAAGCCCGAGGACGAGTCGGTGACCAAGCTGAAGAAGCTTGGCCTAGATCCAGCCAACAAGAGGTGCTTTGATTGTGGCCAGCGCGGACCTACCTACATCAATTGTTACTAATCTGATCATTTGTGGGGGGGGGGGGGGGGGGGGGGGGGGGGTGTTCAACAGGGGGGATTAACCTGTAATTTTTGTTCGTTTGGCTTGTTCTGTGTGCAAAGTACAATTGTTTTTATTCTGGGTATAATTTGTTGAGATATTTCTTGTTGGAAATGTATGGGATGTAATTGCCAGTGCGTAATTTGTGCTATACTGTTACAAGTACAAAATTGTTGGTAAATCTGCATTAGCTTTTATATCTATAAACACATAGTTCTGAAGACATATATTTGATATCGCCTTTTCAAGCGATCCAAGTCATTTTAAGTCAGCAATATATTCATCATCTAACTACGAACGTAAGGTGTAAATCACGATGTCTCATTTTTATCTCAAGAACATATTTAACCAACAAAATAGCGAATTTGTTTCCGCCCACCAAAACACTTGGGTTGCTTTAAAACATTAAAATCTCATTTAAAGCGGTGCACTATTTCATGATAACTTAACCATACCCAATTATTACAAAGTTCAACATAACGCTTCGATCTTCAGCAGTATTTACGATACATATTAACCACTACGTCTACATGGCGAGCAGTTTATTGAAATTCCATGACGTCACAACTCTCTAACTAACCAGAGAATCTATTTTGAGTGATATACTGTGACTAACATTAACACTACCCACCCCACAGGAGAGGCATTGCCCCACCCCAACGCATCAAGTCTGTCTCCAAGGCTACCTTCACAGCGACAGAGGTTACTCTGGTGGAACAACGTGGTAACGAGGTAGGAATATTGCACTTTCTAGAACTTTCTACTTCTCATAATAACCTGACAATATACACACGGTTTATACTCTAAATACCCCTACTATACTGTGGGCATGTGTCCGGATGTGTTGATAGTGATGCGCGCCTTTGCGTGTGAGTGGTTTCTTTAATCCCACGCCCTTCACTGAAGTCAGTTCTAAACAGTTTCTCTTGCCACTTCAGCGTAAAGTCTGTTAAATGTGCGATTTAAAGTATATAAACAGTGTCGATACTAGAGAGATTTAAAACACTACTCAGTACTCAACATCAAGATTGCATTTAGTCAGGCTTGAAATAAACACGTATTCTATTATCAATATCCTGGCCTACAAGAATAAACACCACACCCTACCCCACCCCTGATGCAGCCGTGAATTATAAATTGTTTCACCACTTCCAGATCTTCCAACTGATTGAATCTTAGATGTTGCTATATATTGATTATTGCTATATGTTGCTATATAATGATAGTTTACTAATTTCTCACAAGCTGCAGTAAGCCCTGTCAACACACTGTGTGTGACTGTGTGTTGTTTAGCTAATGCTCTGTTCTCATACTAATCATCATCATAAGAGTGTGAAATTACTATGGATAATTATTATTATTGTCCTGGAAGACCTGCCAGGCTGCAAAAATCACAGATCACGGAATCTTTGAGATTTAAACGAAACCAAGATCTCTTAACTTGGTTATTAACTGTGTTAGTGGTTACTAACAGTTAGTGGTTAGTGGTTAGTAACAGTTACACTGAAAACAGTTTACACTCACGGTCCTATTAAATCGCGGTGTTATTATTGACGTATCCAGTTACTCCTGTTTTTTCTCAACCAGCCATCAAATCATGGTCCAGAGCAGTGTTTTATATAAGGACCAGTTTAACCGAAAAATTTGTAGTCTCCAATTTAGCTAAGATTTATCTGCTGTGACAAACTGGTAAAGAATCGAATCGCCGAAAGAACCAACTCTCTAGCGTACGTGTAACGCGTGTTATTGTAATAATAAGCTGTGGCCCTCGTGACGTCCAATAAAGTACCCTCATGCGCGCTTGCATAGCGTAATTTACATTATAAATGTTATCAAATCGTCAATAATAACACGTGTAACTCCTTCAAATTTAGAATTATGATGACTATTACCACCCTAGTTCTTTCTCCAAAATCCTTTATATTTTGGGCTTTCATCCTAACTAAAGAATAGCTGATTGGGAATGTACAGTGCTCAAGTCATGATTTTAAACAGTGATATACTTATAGGTTCTTGAACAGTGGCGGGTGATCAGAATGTCGGTTAGAAAGTTCTGCTAATAAAACTTATGTCATTATGGGGATTAATTTGATTGTTTTCAATTGCTTAAAATTACCAACAGGGAGTCCTGTACGATTATTTTTTCCCCAGTCCCAATGACGACGCTAACGAATTTAGAAAGATTACAGATTAGTAGGAGTTTGTTCAATTCCCGAGAGCAATTATATTTATAAGCATAGCGAAATTTCTAACTTTAATCTGGTAAGTGTCTGCCATACAGAGACAAGAAGAGTTCTGGCTATGTACGGCCGTTCCTCTGGGACCATTAGTAAAAGTAGCTTCTATCAGAACAGGCCGTGGGAACAGAATTCCCGCCCAAATACCCGGTCTACACCAAATAGTAAAATTACTGATTGGAGGTGTGTACGTGTGCAGTGTGTTTTGAATTAGGACTTCCGGCTTACCTATAGTTGTTATCCAATAGCATTATCATCGGTGCATAACATAAATAAACTACTGGTAAGTTTTAAATACCAAGTCCAAACGTGTTCAGTCGATCGACCCATGAACTACTATAGAATATCCAAGAACCCATTATTCTCTGGCCCATATATAACGGGCACGATCGATTGTTAGATGGCTAAATGACCAACGTTCATCCTTATACAATTCTAAACTATGAGCTAGCACTTAATCTAAAAAATACCTTTTTATATTACACCTGATTTATATTACCATTTCACGTAAAACATTGTTCGCCAGGGGTTGATCATGGACACTAACAGCTTAATTTGTGATAAATGACTTATGAGTTTCTCTAAAGTTAACTCTAAAAGTTTGTGTATTTCCCAGTCATTTATGGACATTTATGACAGGACCTGAAATGTTCTAATAACTCACGAAACTGTTTTGCACAGACCTTCCCGAAGTTAATGATTGAAAAGATTTTCGTTGGGAGACATTTTTTGAACCGTGGAGAAAACCCAGGAAGGCCACGCCCATATTGACCCAATAACGTACCGACCCCTTGCTTCTGAAGTCGTAGAAGACTTTCAAAATAGGCTTGAACGAAGCCGCATAGCAAATGTTTTATATAGGAGTAATTGAGCTACACATGGCCTAAAATCCTCACGTTTTTTCGATAAATTCTTCGCCAAAAACATTTTGGGCGTGGTGCTAAGCCGCCATTCTCGATATGATCGGTTTGAGTCTTTCAGACAGGATGCAAAAAGAACCGGCAATTTAGATATTATATATGACATATTCGACCAAACATATGCCTTAAAGTGCTTACTGTTTCATTATTGGCAAAAACGGATTTTCGGTTCCAGAAATCATGCAAAAACTATGGGTATTGTGTTAATTGGGCTATGAAGCCCTAAAGGTTTTTGAATGTGTGCAAATTTTGTGCAGTAAATGGCCCATGTTTTATATACAGACTTATGTAACAACATTAACCTAAATTACTTACTTTTCGAGTTATTCGGGGGAAAAAGAATTTGTATAAATGTCCATTTTTTTTACCTGTAAAAAACAGTCTCAACGAGCTACTCTGCGCGGCAAGAGGGCCTTTAATGACGTCAGCGCCAAAATTATACAAACGGTAATTTACACGCGTTAGAGAGCATTAGAGATTTAAGAATTTCGACTCAGATGCTTAGTTTTTTTGCTATTTGTTCACAATCTGCAAATAGAGGATAACTTTTTTTTCAGTTAACTTGTCGTTAAAGGACCAGTTACCTGAAAAATTTGTAGTCTCCAATTTAGCTAAGAATTTAATCTCTGTGACAAACTGGTAAAGAATCAGTATCGCCGAAAGAACCAACTCTCTAGCGAAGCGTGTAACCGTGTTTATTGTAATAATAAGCTGTGGCGCCCTCGTGACGTAATAAAGTCCCTCAGTGCGCGCTTGCATAGCGTAATTTACATTATAAAAAAAAATGTTTATCATCGTCCATAAAACACGTGTAACTCCCCCCCACTCAAATTTAAGAATTATGACTATTACCCTAGTTCTTTTTCTCCAAAATCCTTATAAGTTTTGGCTATATCCTAACTAAAGAAAGCTTGATTGGATGTACAGTGCTCTCGTCATGATTTTAAACAGTGATATACTTATAGGTTCTTGAACAGTGGCGGGTGACTCAAAATGTACGGTTAGAAAGTTTCTTCTGCTATTCAACTTATGTCATATGTGAATAATTTTGGATAAATTGTTTTCAATTGCTTTATTACACAAGCAGGGAGACTGTACCGATTATTTTCCCCATCCAAGAAAACTCTAACGAATTTTAGGAAAGGATACAGATAAGTAGGAGTTGGTTCATTCCGAAGCAAATTATATTTATAGCATAGCGAAATTTCTAACTAATCTGCCAAGGTGTCCTGCCCAGTACAGGAGACAAGAATCCTGGCTACTTTACGGCCGTTCTCTGGGACCATTAGTAAGAGCCTTCTATCAAGACCAGTGGGCCGTGGAACAGAATTCCCGCCAAAATACCCGGTTACCAAATAGTAAAATTCTGATTGGAGGTGTGTACGGTGTGCAGTGTGTTTGAATTAGAACTTCCGCTTACCTATATTGTTATCCTAATTGCATTATCATCGGTGCATAACAATAAATAACTACTGGTAATTTTAAATACCAAGTCCAAACGTGTTTCAGTCGATCGACCCACTGAACAACTAAGAATTTCCCAAGACCCTATTATTCTCTGGCCATATAATAGTACGGCACGATCGATTGTTAGATGGGCTAAATGACCAACGTTAATCTTACACAATTCTAAACTATGCTATAGCTAGCAACTTAATCTAAAAAGACCTTTTTTATATTACTCCTGATCTTTTTACATTTTCACGTATAACATTGTCGCCAGAAGGTTGATCATGGACACGACCAGCTTATTTTGAGATAAATGACTTTATGAGTTTCCTCTAAAGTTAACTCTAAAGTTGTGGGAGACGTATCATCATTTAAATGGACATTATGGAAATGAACCTGCAAATGTTCTAATACTCACGAAACTTTGCACAGACCTTCCCGAAAATTTATGAATTAAATAAACGATTTTCGTTTGGAGACATTTTTTTTGACCGTGGAAAAACCCAGGAGGGCCCCCACGCTCCAATTGAAAACCCAATAACGAAAACCGACCCCTTGCTTCTGAAGGTCGTAGAGACTTTCAAAATAGGCTTGAACGAAGCCGCATATCCATGTTTATATAGGAGTTATTGAGCAAACAACATGGCCTAACAATCCTCACTTTTTTTTCGAATAAATTCCGCCAAAAAATCATTTTGGGCGTGGTGCTTAAGCCAATTTCGATATGATCGTGGAAGGGTGTCCTTCAAACAGGATGCAAAAGAAACCGCAATTAGAATATTACTAATGACTTACAACAAACATATGCCTTAAAGTGCTTACTTTTTCAGTGATTTGGCGGAAAAAAAACTGATTTTCGGTTTCCAGAAATCAAGCAAAACTATGGGTATCCTTCTGGTTAATTGGGCTAATGAAGGCCCCTAAAGATTTTGAATGTTTGCAAAGTGTGCAGAATGGCCATGTTTATATACAACTTATGAAGCAACATGTACCCTAAATTACTTACTTTTTCGAGTTATTCGGGGGAAAAGATGGTATTATGTACCATTTGTTAACCTGTAAAAAACAGTCTCACGAGCTACTCTGCGCGCAAGAGGGACTTTTATGACGTCATCGCCAAAATAAT